CATAGGTGTCAGCTTCCTCGAGAGTGGCCCTACAGGAACTCATAATATGGGACAGGTCGAAAAGTACCTCGATCTCTGGGGGACTTTTAAGCTTTGAAAACTTCCACAAAGTCATGATATACCCATGTGCAGAAACCCCAGAGGACAGTCTCCACTAATCAGGGATAAAAACATCCAAAATGATTTTTGGTCTTTTTCTAGAACAATTCAATCAAAGTGTCGCAGGACTTTTCGAACAACCTAATAGAAAGGCATTCGTCTGAGGCCAGCAAAAACTTGCATAAAACTCACTTGTAGTGGCATTTTATCGGCTGCGACAAGTCAATATTTGGCCGAAGAGCGAAGTTAGCGAGACTAGTAAGCACATCATCGCGACAAAAACTGGAATAGGAATAGTTAATGTAGAAATTTGAAACAGAGTAAGAAAAAAATGGTTGTATGGAAATGAAGTCGTAAAAAAGACTATGTTAGCGCGTATGCACATAATTAACAATGACTTTTAGTTAAATAATGCTCACTCATAGATACATATCCCGTTATCTTCTACCAGTCGGATCGCCCGGCTGACGCCGAGCTCTCCTCCTTCTCTTCAGCCCGGCTTCGCCGGGCTGGCCTGGCTTCGCCAGGCGCTCTTCATAATGGGAACGGAGTTTGTTCATTCACTGAGCTGCTCATAGTGCGCTGTGCTGATCGAATCGTAATAGTTAGAGCAACCTAGCGGAACCTGCACTCCGAAGTATACGCTTATGTTTGCAGGAGGGGTGGTGGTTTTGATATGACGCCCATACTATACATGGATCTATAGATATAGATAGAAAATACAGTCGGCCAATGCATCGCATATGAGTCGCTCGATAGATGAACAAATTCCGTTTCCATTACGCGTAGAGACGCCAACTGATACGCGCTTACCTATCCCATTATAACAAAATCCACTCGCTGATGTCGTATAAATGATCGCAGATACTAGTATTTCGCCATTACTTGCACACGCCTTCACACTCCCTAATTTTTGGCATAAAGTGTGTTACACTAATCAGGTTGCATAAAGTGTGTTACATTAATCAGGTTTTTGGTTCTTGATTTTTCATGGTTTCCTGTTATAGGCGAAGTACATCTGATAACACGGATCTTATCAGCTGATAACACTTACTGTCACCCACCAATAATGTT